AAATCCCTATAATTGTGTAAGAGATAATTATGGGGTATTCTTTATTTAAATAATTTAATAATAATATAAAATTATAAAAAATAACTTATTTAATAAAGTAAAATTTAATTAATTTATAAATAATTAGTGATATGTTATAACCCGTAATTAAACTGTTATAAGCAAGAATTTTTTAAAAGTAGATTTAAAACCTGTAATATTGACTCTTAAATGTGTATATGGGGTGATTTTAACTAAATTCAATGGTTGAAAGTTATGTAATGTTAGTCATTCTAACTATTTTCGTTTTGAATTGATTGTTGTTACTTTTTTGACGTTTTGACTGAATTGTTTCTTTCATTTTTGTGTATGGTTAATAATAGAATCAATCCGAACCAAAATCGATAACAACTAAACCGATAAATATATATTATATTTAATTTGATTTGATTTTAATAATTTTAAAATCGATTAAATTGGTTTGATTTGGATTTTGATCGGTAACCGATACAAACCAAATAAAACAGGCCTATAACCTATTACCTCACTCTGCTTCTTCTTCTTCTACCAATAGAAAGAAGTTCACAAAACCAAGCAACAGTTAAAAATTCCTTGAAAAGTAAAAACAAATCGATCTTCCCTCCCAAAACTTTTACAATTCTTTTTTCATGGCTTCCGTTACCGTCGATTCTTCTTCCGCCACCGTCCCTGACGGCGCACTTCAAGCAGAATCAATCCCAACCGTTGATCTCCGACTCCTTTCTCAATCTGAACTTTACTCTCTCTCCCTCTGTTCCACCGCTGCTTTCAACCCTTGCCGGGACGACGATGTCATTATCCCTAAAATCGACCGTTCGGTTTTCAATGAATCCGCTGGGTCCCGCAAACAAACCTATTCCCGTCTCCGTCTTGCCCCCGCTGCTGCTGCCTCTGCTTCCTCCTCCGCCATCCGTAGCCGTACACCTCACCTCCGTAATTCTCCTCACCCTCTTCAGAATCCATCTCCAAACAATGGCCCAGCGAATTCGGAGAGTTCCCAAATCGTTATCCTTCTTAAACAACTATTTGGTTCGGGTACTCAAAAGAACCCTACCGATTTGGTACCTATCCGGGTTGATTATTCCGATTCCTTATCTGTGCCCTCGCATGTGCCTGTTCCCGGGCTCGAATTGGCCAATGTGGGTTCAGTTGGGCAGAAAAGGAAACGAGGTCGGCCTAGGAAGAATGAGAATGGTGTCCGGGTGGCTGAGGTTAAAGTGGATGAGGTAGTGAAGGACATTGTAGTTTATCAAAATGTGGATGATAGCGATAAAGAGATCATGAATAAGGATGGTATACCAGTGGATTTGGCAGTTCTAGGAGCATTGGTGGATCCGTTTGGCCTAGAACTGAGGCGGAGGACAGAGGGGTTGGGGAGTGCAGAGGAGTTGTTAGGGTTTCTGGGGAGATTGAATGGGCAATGGGGGAGTACGCGAAAGAAGAGGAGGATAGTGGATGCAGATGAGTTTGGGAGTGTGCTGCCAAAAAGTTGGAAGCTTTTGCTTTCTATTAAGAGGAAAGAAGGCCGTTCATGGTTGCATTGTCGACGCTACATAAGGTTTTTAGAAATGCTTTTGTTTCTCTTATTGCCTTTTGTTAACTTTATTGATTTTCTTGTCATGAGTGTTTTATGGTTAGGGTATTAGAGAACTCTAATTTGGCTTTAGAGTTTAACCATAAATATTGAGCAAATGCACTTGAACAGAAAGCAATGAATACAGAGGATTCATAGAACTGAATTTAACTAATTTAGGATTGATGCATAGTTGATTTTTTTGATCATTTATGGTAAGCAACTGGATCTTGATGTCTCTAGGGACATGATTCTCATCAAAGCCTAACATAGATGATAATGAAATAAATGAAGTGATTTGGCCGTGACTCTTTCATTGGGGAGTTTGAGTTATACAACTAGCGTTTTGTTTCCTATCATATTTTGATATCAGCAACAACAACATACCTAGTGTTATCCTTTGGGGAGGGGGGGTCACAACCTTTCCCCTACTTGTGAATGTAGAGAGGTTGTTTCCGATAAACCCTCAACTCAAGTAAAGCATAATAAAAACCAGTATGGAAAGGAAAATATAGTAGTGAAGCAACCATGCTGAAACACAATGGAGAAGAGAATAGTAGCAATAACACATAATACGATAACCGAAGCAGAGGAAACAATAAGTAATAATAGAATTGAAGGAAAACATGCATATGAGTAATAATAGCCAAACTGGTGAAGGAAAATAGACAAAGCTTGACTACCTCTTAATCTTCTACCCCAGTTGTTGACCTCCATATCCTTCTATCTAGGGTCATGTCCTTGGTAACAAAATGGTCTGAAAAGATAACACAAACTGGACTTGTCCAAATTATGACAAGACTCTAGCAAGTCCAGAACATCTAACACATCAATTGCAAAAGACCCTCTATTCCGAAACAAAAAATTATGAATACATTTAAATTTTGTAACAACTACTTATTCCCTCTTCCCACCATAGCATCTTTTATTCCTTTCTAGCTATATAGCCCATGCTATGCACAAGGGGACTGTCTTCCAAAGCTTCTTATGTCTCCTGACAATTCTTTGTGTTTGCCAAATATGAGTAGCTCTCTAAAATTTGATGACATTACCCAATGAACTCCAAAAATGCATAAAAATATAGACCAAATCTGCCATGAAAGCTACTAGAGTAGCATGTAATCCACCGTTTCACTAGCATTCTCACATAAAAGCACCTGCTGCATAGAATAAATCCTCTCTTCTGCAGCCTGAGGGTAGCAAGCCATCCAAAGCAAGCTATTTTGGTTGGTAATTTAGTCCTACATATCAATTTCCTAGGCCATTCTTTTTCACATTTATCGGGATTATATTTTCTTGGCGATACAATTCATAGGTTTGTATGCCTAAAACTTCTTCACTTGTTTCTATTGCAACTTTATAGAAGTTACTCCCTCATTTCATTGTCTTGGTTTGCCTAGGCTCAAAGTTTAAAGAATGTAGAGAAGATTTTGAATCTCGTGGTCTTAACTTAAAGGTGTGTATAACATATGAAATGTGCCCTTTGAATCTTGTGTTTTAAACATGCAGTATTATTTCTACAAGGAAGTGCCATTAAGGGTAAAGTGATTGTGTTGGAATTCAAAAATTGCTAAACCTAGAAAGTTGATGTACTTCACGAAGCAAACTAAAAAGGAAAGTAAGACATATATAATGTAGCAGTGGGAATATTTGCTTTGAAAAAGGTTGATGCTACTATTTTGTATACAAATTAGCAAAATGAAATTATTTCTAGAATTCTTTTGGTAAGTAAGAATTTTATTTACCAAAGGGGGATCACTACAGTTAAAATTATTGGAAGAATTTGTCCTTACAAATATATTTGAATAGAATGTATATTTTTTTGAGAAAGGTAACTTGTATTATAAACAAAAGAATACATAAGGAGTATTCTAGTAATACTTACATCCAAAAGTTACAAAAAGCAAAGAAGTCCTATGGAGGTCATAAGAACTCTAAAATACTAGGAATATCCTCTGCATCTTGAGGATATTCATGTTTACACCAAAAAAAAGAAAAGAACCAGGCAATTCTGCTTCAGATTCTGCATAGAGCAACTCTTATTTTTAAAACATCTCTGGTTCCTCTCCATCCATATAGACCACCAAATGCAGGCAGGGACAATCTTCCATCTCTCCCTGTGTCCTATTCCAGCAAGCTAGAGCTTCTTTGATGTAACTCGGCATAGTCCAACAGATACCCCTTAAGTTGATGAAAATCTGCCACAACTTCGCAGTCTCTCTACAATGTAGAAAGAGATGGTTTATTGTCTCAACCTCACATTCACAAAACCAACACCTGGAACAGATATGCATACCTCTTTTCATGAGGTTGTGTTGAGTGAGTGCAGCCTGATTGGCTAACTGCCAAGTGAAACATGCTATCTTGAATGGTATCTTGACTTTCCAAATCATTTTCCAAGGTCATCCACCTATATGAGTACCAGGTCTTTGTGAGCTTCTATAAGCCGAGTCAACTGAAAATTTGCCTTGCTTATCTGGATTCCAAAAAAGATTGTCCTCATTTGTGTTTAGATCTTTGCACTGGCCTAGAATGTTGAGTAGCTCAACTATTCTATTGACCTCCCAATCATTTAGGTGTCTTCTAAACCTTAGATCCCACCCGTGATTATCTCTCATTTCTCTGATTGTAGCCTCTTTTTGAAGGCTCATGTTGAACAAAATAGGGAACCTATTTCTCAAAGTCACCTGATCCACCCATTTGTCTTCCCAAAACAAAGTCCTTCCACCATTCCCTACCTTGATTTTGCATTTGTTAAAGAATTTGATCCATAAATTTCTAAACGGATCTCCATACTCCAGATCCATAGGGTTGTGTGGACAGGTTGGTGATCCACAAATTCTCCATACCAAACCTAGCCTTTATTGTTTCCTTCCGGAGAGCTTGTTCTTGTGAGGCAAATTGTGTATATATATATATATATATGACTTTGTTTTTTTCCTTTTCCGCAATAACCTTGTTCAGTTTGGTCTCTTTGATGTCCTCAAGGACATTTATAGCCTATTTGACCAAGCTTTTGACAAGTTAAAAGCATTTTTTTCATTCCGAAAGAAAACTCTTTTTGGAGATTGGAGATATTTGGCAAAAAATGAGAAGTGCTTTTGAAAGCAAAAGTAGTTTTTTGGTGTTGTGGGAGAAGTTACAAACTTCAGCTTCTTGTAAAAAGTAGAAGCATAAAATTTACTTATTCGAGGCAAAAGCATCCTTACCAAAAATTTGTATTTTTTTTTATGACAAGGGAAACCCGCAGCCGCTACCCTTTGGGTGTGCACATGATAAAACCCCCGCTCCTATGCAATAGCTCGCAAACCACATAGGAGAGGTAACCTGCATCATGTTTATAGATTCATAACATCTTAAGGTTGCTTTTCCAGCCATCTCCCTTCATTTTCTCTAATAGGTTCTTCTTGTTTTCATAATTTGCAATTGATGACATTTGTAGCTTGAACAAAACCCAAGCTTATCCAACAGTTTACACATGATTTGGAATTAGTATTGTGATATTTGTTTACTCCTCTCTCTCTCTTATATGCGTTCAATTTAGATGACGTAAGACATTTGAATTTCTCAGCCCTAATGGACGGCAATTTGGCACATGCAAGGAAGTCTCTTCATATTTGCTATTTCTTCATGGTGAAAGGAAGGAAAATCTTCCAGCATATGCGAACGGCAGTGGAACTGTTGAGATCACCAATGCATGTGCTTTGGTTAGTGTAAGCTTAACCATTTTTTTTAATAAAATAATACATTTTTTCTGGTCCTGCTTTATTTTCCCCTTACATGGAGCTTTGATGCATCAAATATGTTTCAGACTTCAGATCTCAGAATTCAAGATGGTGGCAAAAAGGAAAGCTCTGTTTTTCATAACTCATCCCCTGCTGTTGGTCATGGGGAGTTGCAAGTTCTAGTGAATTTTGGAGAACTATCGGAGGTCCAAGTAGGAGATCTCTTGCACTGTGACAAATGCAATGTGACGTTTAATAATAAGGATGATTTATTGCAGCACCAGTTATTTTCCCATCAGAGAAGGAGATCTAGAAATGGTGGTCAATCCATTACTGACGGGGTAATAATTAGAGACGGAAAATTTGAATGTCAATTCTGCCACAAGACATTTGAAGAAAAGCATCGATACAATGGTCATGTTGGGAACCATGTTAAGAAGCAGGTAAAGACTGTGGATGGATCGCTTCCAATCAAATTGGGAGGGGGTGTTGAACCTGTGGTGCCTAGCGGAGCCATGCTGAGGGATCCCATTATGCAGGATTCAGTTGTTTTGCCGAGGAACTTGACAGAAAATGCTGGTGTAATTACAGATGCCGGTGACAATCCTGCACCAACTAGTAAAATTCAGGAGGAGGATCACATGGAGACTGACGATAAACTAGAAGGTCTGGGTGAGGCTATGGATATTGCCCCTAATAAAACTACTTTGTGTTTAAGTTTTGAAGCATTTACATTCAATGACAATGATAATAATTATTGTGGAACACCACGTGACTAACTGTTTGCTGATATTGCAGCTGAAGGAACCAGTAATGGTTGTCATAACCAGGAAGGGAGTTCTGTGAGCCGTTCCCCTATTTCATCGAATGAAAAAACATGTGTGGATATAAGCAAAGTAATTGTCGGCTCCAACATAGAAGTACCTGAACAGGAAGGTTTACTTTGTTCAAATGACATTGTTGATTCGTGTGGTGTTAGTATGGAAGATGGCAATTTTTTCCCTACAGTGGATGAGAGCAAAGTAGATGGTAGGTCTGTAGATACTGAGTCAACAACTGTTTTATGCAGTAATGCCAGTCTGCCGGGTGGGAATAGTTTGATAAAAGCCAGACAAATTCCACATACTGAAGATCACTCAGGGAAGAACATTGATGATCTGAATGGTGTATCCTTTCTGGCAGAAACATCTAAAGGAAACAGAGATTTAAAGAGCAGCACAGGTACCCCATCTTGTGACAAGGAAGGATCCACTGTAGATTATGTCGGAGTTCTTTCTGGTTGCGTAGGTGAGCATAAACCTAGTAGCATGATGTCTGATATGGAAAATAAGGAGTGTGGCAGTCTTGTTGATTCAAATGACAATAAGCTGATTATGAAAGAGGACAATCATGCATTTGTTCCACATCCAGATAAACATGTAAATACAGCTGAAAGAGATGTGGTTGATGTTTCTGCTTGCATTCTAGAGGAGCTTGGACAGAAGAAAGGTGATGAGAGTAGTCTGCTTTCTCCGGCATGTGACAAGAACAGTGAGGTTGAATCTCTGATTTTTAATGATTTGAAAACAAGTGCAGATGAGCCCAAGATTAGTGAGCTGCAGAGTGTTAGAAGTAATATAGTGGGATTTACTTCTAGTGACAATCATGCTGTGAAAAAAGTTGCTGCCAGTGACATAGAGAAGGAAAAAAGTCTTGCATTCTCCCCGCTTTTTCCTGCCATGAATGCAAGGGCATCATGTGCAGAAGATGACTATACCAAAGTTTACCAAAGCACACTGGAAGGTAATGATCTGCAAAGGTCTGCAAGTGCATTGTTTTCTACAACCAACGTACCAGAAGCTTCTACCAAGGAATATACCATGCACAGGAGCTATAACAACTCTTTGAAAGAATCTAAATTTGATTGTCTAGAAAACCCTAGACATCATGATCTAAATGTTGTTTTCGACAATTCTCATGTGGATCTAGGTGTAAATTTGAACTGCACAACTTTCCAACTTGGCATGGAGGAAACATATGGTGTTCAGGATAATCTCCAGAAAAGATTGGAGACCGATAAACATGGAGAAGTAGGGATTGATTTAAGGGATTCATCTTTCAAGGAAAAAGCAGGGGATTTTGGAAGTAATTTCAACACCGTTTTTCATAGTCAGTTGTGGAATGAACACAAATTAGATGAAGTTGATAACTCTGGAAAGAAGATCATTACTAGTTTTGGTTGTGGAGATGCCAAACCTAATGAGGATGTCATGGCTGGAAGTATTTGGAGAGCGGGTGTAGAAAATGTCATGCAAGGTGGCTCAGCAGACAATTCAACCTCAGTAGCGCAGTCATCTAATTGTTTCCAGACTTATGATGTTTTGTCAGATAAGGTATGCAATATAATATATTGGACTAATTTTCTTTCTGTAAATATATAATATGTGTGTCTGACTATTTTAGTTTGAGAAACATATCATTCTGCCATGCATTTGAAGAAAAATGCTATAGCATATTAGTTAAGTAGTAGTTGCAGTTCTCTTTGCATATACTCTTAATTAACCAATTTTCCTATTAGAAACGATCAGAAAAGACTTGCAGATATTTTTTTAGTTATGAAGAGTGTTGTGAATTTTTTAACCATTTTATATTCGACAACTTATCATATATTTCTTAACTTGCTATTTTGGACAGGTTCCCAATCTTTTTGGAGAGAATGAGAAGTATGATGGCAACACTGGCTTTGATGGGTTGAGCTCAGACAGAAGTGGACCAGTGGAATATAGTTTCATGAGCACACAAAGTTCAAATTCCCTTCAAGAAGAGCCTCGAGTTTTACCTTACGATGTGGATATAGAACAAGGATTTAATTCGTCATTTTGGCTCGGAAAAGACAATTTAATGCCAAATTTAGCTGGCAGTAATCAGGTGACTATGGTATGCGTTTGGTGCAGAAATCTGTTTTATCAAGATTCTAACCAGTTAGAAGCTGGTTCAATTGGTGCAATGTGTCCAACCTGCAGTGGAAGTACTGCAGGGCAGTTTAGCTTTATGTAGCACTTGTTATTGAACATAGATTTCAGACAGAGGATTAGGTTAAAGGGAGGTATTTTGTTCATCCAAAACTGGAAAACAATTAGAAACTCCAGATTGATGTTAGTTAAATTAGTAGGTAACCTTCCCTATTCTTTTGACTGAAATAAGTCAAACCACCAACTGTGTCTTAGAGAAGATAATGAGATTTTTATCTTCTTTAGTCTTTTTTTTTTTTGAATCAATGTAGTCCCAGTTATCTGTTATACACAACATGGTAGGATCAGGATCCATCAGTCGGACCAAAACATTTCACGATTTTTAGATTATTAGGTAGTTGCTGAATGTGTCTCCGATTTGAGTTGTGGATGGGAGAATATGAAGAAGCAATTTTGATCGGTTAGCAGCAGCATGATGGAGGATGGATGAAGAAGCTATTTTTGAGATCAGTTTGCAGAGATGACAATGATATCCTCCCCTACCGGTATCTCATTGAGATTCTTCTTTCAAGTGATTCTATTACTGTTTACTACTTTGGGCATTTTTAAGTTTTCTGGTAAAAGTTGGTTTTTGCAGCTGTGTTCTATGTTTTGTATTTTTGCCTTTTGTTTACTTATTAGACAGGCAAACACATTAGTGTTTAGGTAATGCAGCTTAGCAAGTAATGTGATTCTATACAATGCTCCCTTGACTGACAAGCTTGGATATTATTAGGTTTGAAAGTTCCCACCTTTGGTTTAGTTTTAGGTTAGATCAATCAAAAATACATTAAGTTTTGTGGATCTTTTGATTTTCAACTCAAAATGACCATAAAAAATGCCTAATACTCGTTTCCCTTTTTGTTATTTTATCGTGTGTTGTGGTGGGGGGCTGCTTTATAGCTGGCTTGACAAGTTCAAGGATTAACTTTTCATTTGGTACAAAGATTAATAATGTAGGAATTAGTAATGCAGAGATTAGTAATGCAAGGATTAATAGTGCGGAGATTATTTTTACTAAGTGTTTGGTTATTGTTTCTCACTTCATCTTGTGTTTGGATTAAAACTTTATAAAAAACTTCTTTCCAATTATACCCTTAAATATTATGTAATTGGGTTAAGGTAAATAATTGCCGGACAATATTATTTTTTTATGGCCTTCTAACATAGCGCTATGAGAAGAATAATTTTGTTGTCATGTTTGCCTCTTTTTTTTCACTTAAAGTATTTGAAGATAAATAGTTGTCATCTTAGTAAATTGATCCACTTATAAAATGTCAATTTTTAATTTAAAAAAGTTAAACTATCAACTTTTAAAATTGAAAAGACGGTAAACAATAGTAAAATTGAATAAACCATCTACATTTACACATAAAAATTGCAAGTTGTAATTTTAATATGTATGCAATTTTATAAATTGTTCAAAACACAAATAATTAGTAAACCACACACACACACACATATATATCAACAAATTATATATTTAATTAAGATCACAAATGTCATTTGGTGATATATTTATCTTTTTAATTAGTTAATATTAAACAACTCACATTTCAAATATTGTATTAATTTGTATTGGATTTATTTAGTAACAAACAACTCTCTCTAAATAATTTGTAAGCTAATTTATTTAAATAAATTTACTAGTACAAATATAAAACATAAAATCAAAAAAATAATTAAAATGATTTGAGGAATATTTTTGTCTTTACATAGAGTTATCACATGTATTACTAATACCTCCAAAATGAGAGGTATTTAGTAATACATCCTATAATACCATGTAGGAGGTATAATTAAACCATGGATTATTTATACATAGGTCCAATTTCCTACAAAAACATAGTATTTTAATAATGAGTAAATTTTAGGTTTAGCAAACATAAAAATCATATTTGTATGCTATAGCTATAGTTTGTATAATTGTGATCCATAACAAACTTTATGTTTGCTATGACTATTACTCTGTATATTTTGGTATACATATACATAAAAAATATGTATTTGGGTCTATTTGTATATTTCGATATACAAATGGGTCCTGCATTTGTATATTTCGGTATTTAAATAGGTCCTGCATTTGTATATCTCGGTCTATTTGTATATTTTGGTATACAAATGAGTCCTGCTTTTGTATATTTCGGTATACAAATGGGATGGCAAAAAACATGGAATGTTTGTTGCGAATTACAAATAAAAGAAACTATGGCTATACCATTCAATTTGAATTAATAATTTGTTATTTTATACAATTTTCCCTTAAATAATACCACTTTGTTGCGAATTACAAATAAAAGAAACTATGGCTATACCATTCAATTTGAATTAATAATTTGTTATTTTATACAATTTTCCCTTAAATAATACCACACATAATACATGGACTATTTATTTTAATGCGGCCTACCAAATGACCCCTTAATAACAAATTTAGTTAGTTAACTCTCAATTAAACAAGTACTGGGGGGGCCGGGTGGGGGGTGGGGGGGCGGGGGGAGTGGGGCGGGGGGGGGGGGGGGGGGGGGGGGGGAGTTAGATTGATGCGTTCTATCTAGTACATTAAAGAAAATTTCTGTTTATTTTTTTGATAAATAATTCTAAGGAAATTTTAGTTGATTTAACATAAAAGTACTTATCAACACCTTTTTATCAAACACACTAATGGAGTAATGACCTAATATAAATTTCACTTCCTATCTAAACACGTAACTACATATCTAGTTTCAACACTTAGATCAACTTCTTCTAATTAGTTAATGTATGGACAAAAAAAATAGTGTATGAAGTTTCATTCAGTTAGAAAAAGATATTTGTATATTGCACATGATTGTGTTTTGCATATCTATTTTTGTGTAGCATAGAGAAATTAAAGGTGGCCTCCAAGTTGACATAGTTTTGGGACCTAACTTTCTATTAGGAATTCGACTCTCATTTTCTCACTAAAACTTAAGTAAAAGCTTAGATTTAAAAATAACTTTCTCTCGCTTCATTTGAATGAATTATGTAAGGTTCAACTACTTAAATTCATATTTTGTATATATATGAAAAAATAACCTTAAAAAATAATATGTATTTGTAATAAGATTACATTTATTTTACCCCATTAATTTTAAATCTTGCATGTATTTTTTATTGCAAAAATTTCAATAAATTAATAATAATAATATAGCTCAAGCAACTTGTTGTGCTCATCATTGATGTCAACTACCAATCATAGTCTTGTAGGCCAATAATTAGCTGTGTAACATTTCTTATTTTTAGAATTTGAGTTTTAAATTTATTTCTTCATTCTGTTTTTAACTCTATGATCTCATGATTGAGCAGGTAATATATATGCTTCCTATTTGTTTTGTTCTTTTGCAAAAGATTCATGGAATTTAGAATGTGGTTGGTGTTAGAATTATTAGGTATATCATATATGATAGTATTTGTTTGATTTGATATTATCTTTAGTTTACAAAATATGAATAAAATTTTACTTTTAATTTTAATTTCAAATTATAATTTAAAATCTCAAATTATTTAAAAAGTAGGATTTCAAATACTAAGTTGTGAGTTCATTTTTTTTTTTTTAAATAATGTAAATTTAATTCATAAATTTATAGTTTACAAAAAAAGCTCATTATTGTAAATCTTACAAAAAAAAAAGCTCGACGTGAATGAACAGTTTGTACCATTTTAAAAAAATTTAATTATAATTAACGAATAACTAATTATTAGTATTGTTGATTTTCTAGGCCAATAGATATTTGTGAACATCTGTGTGAATTTGAAAGTTTGTAATAACATATAATCACAAACATTTATTTATAAAAATAATATAGAGATATGTTATGGCAATGGGGCGGTGAAGTGCGGGGCGGGGCCGGTTGAGCTTAACCTGCAAATTTTTTAATTCGTCCCGCTCCGCTTACATAATTTTTTTTTCAACCCGCCTGCATAGACGCACTCCACATAATTTTTTTAATATTTTCTTTTTCTAGTTAAATTTGATACTAAAAATAAAATTCATAAAAATAAATTCATTTTTTTTGTTAAGTTTTATCAATTTGATAGATAATGACTTAAAATTTATTTTTTAGAGGTTAATTGGGAAACATGTAAGAAATTGTATTATTTTTTACTGAACCATTTTCATTTACTATATTGAATTTTTTAGTAGCATTAGAGGAATTATCTTAATAAATAATGTTTTATCACTCTTATAACATGTAAAAAGTTAAAAATAAGTTTGAACCCACAAGTCGTATAAACCGCAACCCGCACCGTATAGTTTTTAAAAAACTCACTTCAACCCGCCCCCAAGTCTCCCACCCCGCACAATCTTAGACCCACCCCATCCCGCATAGCCTTAATCCCACCCCGCCCCGCATCTGCTCCATTGCCATCCTTATGATTTGCTAATGCGACAACTTAAGATATTTCGATACTTTGTTTATGAATTATGATTTGCTCATTCAATAAGATTATATACGAGTTGAGAAGTTTGGATTATTTTCACAAATTATGGGGTTTTCTATTTGTGTTCTCTTTTTCTTCTGTTTTGATGTGCTTTATTTGTGTCGAACTTCTATTACAAACAATCTCTTTATCCTCATAAAATAGAAGATAAAGTTATGCACACACCATCTTTTCTAAACCTCACCTATTAAATTTACATTATCGTTATAAATATATAAAATTTCTTAAAATAAAGATTTATTAAATCATAATTAGTTTTTTGGTCCAAATGAAGTTGAGAACTTCGATATTTTTAATGCATAACCAACTTAGCACAAATAAAAAATATCTAGGTTTAATTTCATATAAAATATACTCACCATAAAATTATAGTTTTTCTTTTAATTTACCCTGCCCTGAAGGTGTTCTAACGACTCTTTTCAAGTTAATGCTATGAATTTTGATTTGAGTTGATAAAGTCGGCATATACTTTATGTTTTTTTAAATTCCACTTCGTGGAGTTTTACTGAATAAAATTATTATCGTCTTAGTATATTACTCTAATTAAAACTCATACAGTAACAATCATTTAGATACCAACAAGAGTTGTAATAGAGTGATAAATATTTTTTTTACTAGAGAGCACTTTACTTGTTAATGTGTGATTTTTTGATACGAAATAAATTTAATCAAGCTTTTACGTAGATACCATCATACCGAATATCGGATGAAAAAAAAAACAACCATTTTGATAATTTTCTCTAATTTCTTTTGGTGTATGTATGTATGGACTGACTCTACATTTGATATAACACGTGTGGACTCTGCTAAAACAGGTCCTTAATTTCTAGAGTTAATAGCTCATATGGTCACTCAACTATCTACTTTTCTCTCAGAAAGTCACTCAACTTTGTATTTTAACTCAAAAGTCACTCAACTATCCACTCTTCTCTCAGAAAGTCGCTCAACTTTGAATTTTAACTCAAAAGTCACTTAACTATCAATAGTTCTCTCAGAAAGTCACTAAACCTATTTAATTGATATTTTAATTAAAATTTGCTGATATATTTTTTTTATTTAAAATCCAAAATTTAAAAAATAAATAAAAATACTAGTTAAACCATTTAGTGACCCGCCTCACTTGACCCAACCCGTTAAAAAATAAATATTGACCCATTTTATTTTACCCATTCTCCTACCTTATTCCCTGTTCTTTCGGACTCTTTCTCCTTTTCTCCTTTGCCTTTTTTTTTCTTCTGTTTCTCCATTGCTGCCTCTTCTTCCTCTTTAATCTATAAAGTTTGAT